TATCTATCTATCTATCTATCTATCTATCTATCTATCTATCTATCTATTGATCTACCTACCTACCTACCTACCCATATATCTATCTATCTGCCTGCCTGCCTGCCTCTCTCTCTCTCTCTCTCTCTCTCTCCATCCATCCATCCATCCATCCATCCATCCATGTTCGAAGCGCTGGCCCCACAGGCACATCGGGAAAGTAGAGCAAAGCCAGTCTGGGAGGGAGGGAAGGAGGGGGGGGAGGAGGAAGGGAGGGGGAGAGAGAGAGAGAGAGACCTGATGCATTAGATTGAATGAGGCCTAGTTTAGACTAAGGCCCTTTTCCACATTGAAACATATTTGCCAGGACCTTGAAACCTCTTTGGCTTCTATCAAAGGTTTTGTGGATGAAACAGGGTCAAGACTATCAGGAAGCTCTCACATTTTGTTGAGGCTTTAAACAGGATCCATTGGACCAGACCTCCACCCTAAAAAATTATTTTTCTCCAATGTATTACAGTGCCAATTCTGAAGAAGGCAAAACCAAAATGTACTGGTAAATTACAAGGAGAACACACACTCACACTCCCTTCTAACCCTGCTGGAGCAGGTGATTGGACTAGAATAGATATCTCATTATCTTTCTCCTCCCTCCCTCCCTCCTTCTTTATTACTTTTTCTTTTTGTCCCTTCCTTCCATTCCCCCTTCTTTGTCTCTTTTTCTTTCTTTCCCTTTTCTCTTTCTTTTCTTCCTCTCTTTCTTCCTCTCTTTCTTTTATCTCTCTCTTTCTCTCTCTCAGGCTCACCCTTTAGATCAGGGGTCACCAAACTTTTGGACCTCAGGGACCACCAAACTCATAATTTTAAATTCCAGAGACCACTAATATGAATTTTGATTGACTGTGGCTTTCTGGCGTTGGTGGGAGAGAGAGAGACACACAGAGAGAGAGATCTGATCCAACCTCTCTCTCTCACACACACACATACACACAGGCAGGGGTGGGATTTAGACCCCTGATCTAAAGCTGTCAAAACTCTAAAAACAGGTCAAATAGCTCTGAGGAGGCCAGTTATAAATTAGAACATTTGCTAAACAACAGGCCGTTAAGTGAGGACCACTTGTATTTGGTTTGCCAGTCACCTGGCCATGGCCACACAGTCACATGGCTAGCAAGCCACTCCCTCAAATTAGGCCACAGCCACAGAAATTTGAATCCCACACCTGGGTAGGGGGCACTGAGGATGAGTTTGTAGTACTAAGGGGGCGGTGGACTTAAAAAGTTTGGGAACCACTGTTATAGAACTTAGAGTCTGCCATTTTCTCCCTTGGTTCCTTAGATCCTATTTGCATGCCCCCCCCCCCCCGCACACACACCTTCTCTATCGGCAGTAACAATCACCATAGGCATTTTGACTTCAGCAGAGGATAAGTTTTTTTTTTTAAAAAAAAGAAACCTAATATTTGATAAAATGCCAGTCTGGAAAATCCAAAGGACGTAAGCAAATGAGCCAATGTGCTCAAAAGCAGGGCCAAATAGTTTCTTACCCAGTGTAAGGAGGAGAAAAATAAGCACACGATTGTGAATGTTATTTCTAAATATAGATCGTATTCTTGAAACATAGTTGCTGAGCTTCTTTCTTATTGCTCCTTAAGTTCCTTCAATAAATATTGAAGAAGTTTGTGGATGCCTTGTGAGCTTGGCTAAGTGGTTTAGTCCCATTTGTGAGATAAAGTCTGACACTGCCAATGCCTGTCAAGGGTCTCCCCAGCTCTGCTTTTAGATGAAGAATGAGTTAGAGAGCAGTGAAGAGTGTGCAAGTGAAGAAAGAGATAAATTTAGAGGAAATAGGTGATAAAGTGGGTGATGGAGCATGGGGAAAACTGATTAGCACAGAGTGATCAAGAGAGTGAGATGGAAAGTGACAGAAGAACAAGTAAAAGATAAATAAGTGAGAGAATATGCAAGTGATGGAGTGAAAGAGAAGAGTGTAAGAGAGTTAATCATTGATAATCTGTGGGGTGGATGGAGAACCCAGTGCTTGATCCTTGTGATCAGTGGATGTGTAAATCAGTAAATCAGAAAAGGCAGAAATCCCCCACTCATCCTGAAAATCAAGTTCTGGCAGATGGTTCAACTCCTGGTATAGCCATTTGTTGAAATTCACCTCAGCCCACACAATGCATTCTGGAGAGGAATCAGTTGATGTTTTTCAGCAAATTTGTGTTTTGTTGAGTTTGACAAATATACTGTGCATGGAGTGATCTAAATTCTTTTAAAAAATCAGTGCAAATTTTTTAAAACTGAGATTCCTTTTTGAAAAGTTTGCAGTTTCTCTTTTTGACCTGGAAGAAATGATATTTGCTGTAATAAGATCATTTTCTGTGGGGAACACTTGCATTTTAGACAGATTGGATATAATAGCGTATTACAAAGTGAGAAGAGAAGTAGTGTGAAATATCCTTAGCAGAGCTCCATTGGTAAGAATTCCCCAGAGAAAATCTAATTACTTTAGGTTGCCATAAATCAGCTTGAAACTTCTGACATCCCTTTGTCTTATCAGCTGGTAAGTTTCAGCTGTATCTTCAGCCAAACCATAAGGGCGGGTGGGGGGAGGCATTTCAGGTCTTCCTCTCCTGCTTTACTGGGATCTTCCCAATCAGATTTGAAAAATAGCTAACTCACCATTCTAGGCATTTGTCAGAACTTGTCTCCTTGCCCAGCCCACCCCAGCCCAGCCCAGCCCACCCCAACCTTTATACTTTACGGACAATGATTGGTGGATCATTACCTGGGGAATTCACCAATTGATGCATTTTAATTTTCTCTGCAAGAAACTCTCAGGATAGCATTACTGCCCAACCTTGTTAAAGAGGCAGAGTTGACAAAAATTATATAGAGGGAGAAGATTTATCTTGATAAACTTCATGCTGTCTCATGGATTGGAAGATAGCATGCTATACTGGCTATATGTATATGTCCTGTGCCATAAATGCCCTTTACTTATTCCCATTCCATTTTACTGTTCTGATTAATAATCATGTATTTACTCACATTTAGTAGCCATAAGCTTTTCAAAAGACTGAGACCATTGAAGTACTTCTTCCAGGCTTATTCTTTGAGAAGCAAGGGCAGCGAGAGAAAACACAAAGTTAGAGCAGCCAATAACCACATTTTCACAACTAGCTTTGATAAAATCTAAGACTAGGGATATTGAAGATCTATCCTTGAGTTTTGCTGAGCCATTGCCAAATACTGCCTGAATTTGTTTCCTGATATTTTCAACCTTAGGAGGAGAGGAAAAAAAGCAATGCTATCTTTATTGAATATTTCACATAGCAGAGAATACATCTGTAGTTTTAAACAATTTAAATAATCCCTTAAAATAATTACAATAGCTATAATATTACTGCATGTGAGCCTGCCTATCAAGAAAAAATAGGGCAGCACATCTGAGTTTCAGACATCTGGATAGGAACTAGATGGCAACAAGCACATAGACAGAATTTTAATATGTATGTTCCTCAGAGATGAATCCATAAGGAAGCAGCTTGTATGACTGGATGCTTACATGATGGAACTGTCAGTTCCAATACTGAGACAGAACATTATGTGTATTTTGTTTTAGAAATAGCCTTGAAAATCTTTTTATTCTTAAGGTATTTTGTCTATGTGTAAAATGGTTACATGAATGACATCATCAGTAAAAGTGGACATACTTGATAGAAAATAAGCGCCACTAAACTTACTGCAACCTTAAGACCTATTTCACTTAAGTTTCCTTTGTTCAGAATTTGAAATATTCATGTTTCAAATTCTCTTATGTAATTATAATATTTATTTGTAGTGAAAATTGTACTTGCTTTTGAACAATGTACTTAGTCATTCTTGCTCAATATACACTTGGAAATATACCAGTTGGTATATACTGTACCAAATATACCAATAAACAACCTAATCAACATTTAAAAATAGACCCAGAGAGTTGATTGGCACCTGTTCCTAGGCAAGTAGGATTGCAGCCCTTGTATTAGAAATTATATTGGAAAGAAATTACTGAAAGATAGAATAGTACAAAAAAAAATATATAGCAATTTAAATTATAATGTTACATTATGTTACAAAGTACTATAAAGTAATATATTTTTGTAATTATTGAAATGGATAGATCATTATGGATTTCCACTGTACATAATTGGGAAGTGAAAACTGATTTACTGGCATTAAAGAAATGGAAGAGATTCTCTCTGTTAGACTGCCATGTGCTGGGATACAAAATAGAAGCATTTGTTTTCATCTGCTCCTTTGGCCTGTTATCACCTCCCAAACACTCACAAAAACAACTTCATTATTTTGAACTTTAGTAGTAATCCATTCTTGATTAAAAGTAAAATTGGCTTCCGAATGTTGAGGCCAAATAAAAGATTCATAAACCGGCTTGGCTGTTTGTAGGGTTTTATAGGCTTGCTAATTTATAATCTCTTTCACTATTTTTATTGGACAACATGAATAGATATGTATGCACATATGTCTATGTATTATGCTAGTCCATAATCATTTATTAACAATCAAATGAGGCAATCTTTGGTGACCACATAATCTGGGTTATGTTTGTTTAAGCACCTAGACACCCTATTTAGGACCATTAAAATGGCAATAAAAGGTGTGCAGCTTTTTAATTGTCCAAAATTCATCAGGCAAAACATTAACCAAAGAGAAAAAAAGAGGAGAGAAGAAAGTGTAACCTGTTCGGTCAACTGGTTCAAGTCATGTGGTTTATAGTACAAAGTCCCAGGGATTCCTATATTTATCATATGACAAAAACCACCCCTTTCCCCACACAAAACAACAGATGGCCTTTGTGGTTTACAGATGGTGGGGGAAGAGTTATTTTCATGATCTTTAAATTTGCAATCTAGATTATACTAATAAGAAAAACAAATGTCTACATTTTTAAAATTCCACCTTAGACTATATTTTGAGCTACTGAGCAGTGTCAGCAGGGCAGATAAAATAAAGCATTGCAGTCACAACTGTACAGTCAAAACCCTACCTCATTTGTGTGTGAGGAGAAGAGGAAGAGGAAGAGGAAGAGGAAGAGGAAGAGGAAGAGGAAGAGGAAGAAGAAGAAGAAGAAGAAGAAGAAGAAGAAGAAGAAGAAGAAGA